CTTATTCAAAAATGAATTTATTTTTGAAATTTTTATTTTTAGAAAATCTTGGTAAATATTTACCAAGATTTTCTAAAAATAAAATATATATATTGATTTTGTAACTGAGGACTTTGTTACTTGTCCTTCCAGTTCATTGTAGAGAATTCGAAAAAATTGCTTTCCCTTTCGTTTTTTAAACGCTTTTTAAAATTTTTCAACGCAAAAAGAAGAAACGCCATGACCAGCAGATGAATTATTTAATTATTTATTTTTAAGGCCAGTACTTGCTTCATGATTATCCAAACTAGTAAGTAAAGAAAAAGACTACTTGCGATAAAATTTCACCTGAGAAGGACTGGAGAAAAAACCGGTCGAGGTATGAGGGAAGAATCATGCCGAAATTCTTCTCGAAACGAACAAAAAGAAAAAAGAAATTTAAAAGCAAACAAATAAACAATAACAGTAACACACTTAAAAAAAAAGGTTTGACTAGTCGGGGAATAATTTCTGTAGAGGAGCATTTTAAGGGCCCAGGCCTTCCTCAAGGCGTAACATTTGTTAGAACCGAAAAATATATGATATTTTTTTATTATCTTAGCAGACAGGTCTTGTTCATAATATCGATACACTGTAAAATCGATCCCCGATTTTTACATAGTTATCTAGAGACTTAATTGTTTTGTGTATGGAAATATATATATATATATATATATATATATATATATATATATATATATATATATATATATATATATAAAGGTTTTTTTTTAAATAAAAACTAACGGATATATACACTTTTAATTAAAGAACATAAATTAATAAAATTAAGTATTCGTTTATTCTTCATTATCCCAATGTGCATGTGCTTCAAAAAAAAAATATCCACCAAAATTTTTTTTAACTAAATTAAAAAGAAAGTTTTAAAAAATTCAGATCTTTTTAAAAAATTTATGTAGATATCAATGATACATTATTTACATTATTCGGACTATTGTCCTCATCTTTGTCGCCATATTTATCACAACGTTTCGGCCGTTGTACGCTCCGGCCTTCTTCAGGTGGTTGGAATTACAAACTGAACCTTTAATTCGCTCACTGGGGTAGACTGTTTTAGATGCATTGACAGTTGATGATGACTAGAGCAACTTGAGTGGTGCCAAAGGTTGATAGACAGTTTTTGTATAGGGTTGGTACTAGCTGGCAGTCGTAACCCAGGGCAGACAGTTGTTGGTAACCAGAAGATGAAGACGAAAGCGCTTGGGAGGTCTCAAAGGACAATAGGCAGTCAGTGAAGGTTGATAGACATTCGGCATGTTGAGCTGGTACTAGCAGGCAGTCTTAGCCAAGGGTAGGTGGTTGAAACCACAGTGATCTGTGAAATGATGGACAGCAGGGAGTGAAACCTGAATTGCCATGTAGATTGGTAAAAGATGTGGTCGGCAGGAATCAGTTGGTTGCTGGTCATCGTTGCTGGTCGCTGATGGTCATTTGTTGCTGATAGCCGACGATCACTGGTTGCTGATTGCTGATGATCACTGGTTCCTGATAGCCGACGATCACTGGTTGCTGGTCACTACAGGTCACTGGTTGCTGTGGGTCACTGATGATCAATGGTTACTGGTCGCTGATGATCACTGCTGATGATCTCTGATCACTAGTTGCTGACAATAACTGGTCACTGTTTGCTGGTCACAGATGATCACTGGTCGCTACTGGTCACTGATGATCACTGGTCGCTGATGATCACTGTTGATGATCTCTGATCACTGGTCGCTACTGGTCACTGATGATCACTGGTCGCTGATGATCACTGCTGATGATCCCTGGTTGCTGGTCACTGATGATCACTGGTTGCTGATGGTCACTGGTTGCTGCTGGTCACTGATGATCACTGGTTGCTGATGATCACTGGTTGCTGATGATCAGTGTTGCTGATGATCAGTGCTTGTTCATAGCTGCTGGTTACTTGTTGCTGATAGCTGCTGGTCACTGGTTCAGATACTACCAAATCATCCTGGCTGGTATCCCTAACCCATAAGCAATGGCCTGATATGTCGAGGTGAATGTGAGAGAGCTGAGCATCGAGGTTACTGAAAGTACCAATTGGAGATTTAGTGTGCAGTGTACCTTGCATTTTTGGCAGTCTAAACATGAGGAAACCCAGTTTTGGACATTAGAGTTCATGTTAGGCCAAACAAAATGATCCGTAACAAGCTTGACAGAGGCAGCACTTGCTAGGATGAGACAACCCATGCAGCTGTTCAAACACCAGTTTCCTGAGTGTAAAAGAAACAAGAAGCTTAGGTAAAATATGCCAAAATTGTAATAAAAATACAATTGAAGAACCCAACTTGACATCACATTCTTGAAATTCCAGGGAAGTGTTTGCCAGTACATCTTGTAGAATCTAGTCACATTTATGCTCCTCTGTTATCAAATCCTGGCTGCCTACCCCCCATGTCAGTATTAACCTGTAACCTCTCCACTGAGGTGGTCTACAACACGGTCAGGCCGTAACATGTAGAACCTGAGCACAGATACTCTGGCCACTTGTTGGAATTTGCCTAGACATTGCGCGAGCAGGATCAAAGCCAAAAATTGGTCTTAGTTGGTCATTTCAGATGAGCAAAAATCCCACCCAACAACTCAATATGTACCTGTAATTTTCCCACTGAGAAGGGATGCAACACAATGTGGGGGAATTTGATTGTGGACACTCAGGCCACTGGTCAAAATTTGCCTAGACCCCATGCAAGCAGCTTCAGGTCCAAAACTGTTCTTAATTAGTCATTTGGGGGGGGTCCCTTATGTTATGATCAGTTAGTTAGTTATGTGCCATGCGTGATACCTGCTTAGGCAATCATGTATCTTTTCATACATGACTGATATAGCAGATTTTTTTCCCGCAGTAGGTTGCCATTTCTTTCTGTGGTAGACCAGTTGCCATCCAAGGCTATAGAACCCAGTCTGTCCTTCTATTTACCCATAGCTGGTGGGAGAAGAAGAGGATTCATACCTTTCCCAAGGGTATTACCACATAAATGAATGTAATGGATTTGACTGGAATTTGAACTTAGCTCTCCGATTCCTTAATATGAGCCACTATCCATTACTCCACCATGCCTCTATGTGTTATGATAAAAATTAATAATAGAGTAAAACTACACTATGTAAGATCCAAGTTAATGTCCTTACAATATGTTATATTCCATGTTAATAGGAATATGGAATGGACAAACACGGTGGATAAATAGTAACAGGTTTTTTTGTAGAAACCAGTACAACAAGCAAGGAAGTAATAGTTATGTGCAAGTTTATTTTTTTCATATTCTTTGACACAGATCATCATCCTGTCTATAGTTTCAAGGTATCTTTGAAGACTGTTATATTCCATGTTAATAGGAATATGGAATGGACAAACACGGTGGATAAATAGTAACAGGTTTTTTTGTAGAAACCAGTGCAACAAGCAAGGAAGTAATAGTTATGTGCACGGTCATCGCAAGTTGGTACAGTTGTGTGCGTGCTGCTATCGGAAGGCTACTAGTTCTTGCAGATTCCAGCTCGACTCTCCTATCTGCTGTCCTAACGGATACGTATAGGTGGTTACCACCTATAGTGCCGCCACTGATGGGGGTGGTAGGTTATTCCATTACATCACAATAAAAATGATCTTGGCAATATTTTCAAATTATATTTTTCTTAAGCAATATATCATAACATGAGTTTCAGTTTATATCTAACCTTGTTAAAAATATTGATAACTTATTTTGGGGTGTCATTTTTTTATTATAAAAGCAAAGTACAACATGTATCTTTATTTATAAATATATCCAAGAGATATCCTTCCTTAGGTGCCATCTGTGATACATGCTTGGCTGATCATGATTAACTTGACAGAAGAATTCCTGCCATAAGCTGCTGTTATTTTAAGCAGTAGACTGGTTACCAAACATACCTATAGGACCCAGTCAGTCCTGCTATTTAACCCATAGCTGGGGAGAGAAGAGAGGGATTCAGACATTTTCCAAGGTTATTTAAGTGGATGTAAAAATGTCATTAGAGTTCAAACTCATCTCATATATTTGATTAGCACAATATTCCATGTTTAATCGAGGTTCCTTGATACAGACATTAAACAATTCTATCTTCCATTTTTGTTTTTTTCTCACTGAAACCAAGTAGCCTCTCTGATATGTCTTTTCCAACTTTCCATGCCAAATGAAGATGAAAATAAATACATGTCAAAAATTAAGATTAATGGTAGACAATGTTTCATTGAATAAAACTCTAAGATGATATTACAACTACTAATACTACTAGTGTAAAGTTTAAAACAAAAAAAGAAAAAAAAATTCCTTCATTCCACTCTGAAGAATGAGGGATTATAAACAGTCAAGCACACCAGTTTTTTGGGTTTTTTTTTTATTTACCTCTTTATATTAATTATCTGTGTATGTGTATTTCTTTTATTTATTGTGTATATACTAATTGTGTGTGATTGTATGTTTCTTTTCCCTTTTTCTGTATTGCATATTTCTTTAAATATGTCTAGGCATATTGCAATAATAAAATTATAAACACCAGAAAAGTATTTAAAATGGCTCTAAGTGACTCTGGCAATGTTTAACCTTCATTCAACCCCACTCTAAAATAAAATAAAAAACATGTATTAAAAGGCCAGTTATTCCCTTGACACCGCTATTATTGTATACACTTTTGACTCCCTCAGCAGTGTTTGTTTTTAAAAGTGATGATTAGAATTTTAATAAAACCCAAGCATATGAAAATGAATTTATACATTTTCTTTATTCTTGAGAATTGACAACAAAAAAGATGTTAAGCACTATTTATTTATTAGATTGAATAAAAATACTTGTTTTCATAGTTATTTATAAAATAGTAAGTAATAAATATTACATTGTAGTTGGTTTACTCGTTTTGATAATTTTGTATTTTTTTATAAATTCTTAACAAAAGATTTCTTTTCAAATTTGTTTCATCATAAAATAGGGGCTTACAGCCACATCATGTTGAAACACTGGTTCCTGTATGATCACCAGGGTTAAGCAACATTGAGCCTGGTTAGTACCTATATAGGTGAGCTCTTGGGAATATCAGGTTTTGTAAGCTTGGATGTGCAGGTGGCGTAAGTGATAATGACTCAGAATTATTAATCATAGAGTAGAGTTCCAATTCCAGTTGGGTTCATTATATTCACTTACCCACAAATACCCTTGGGAAAGGTAGGAATCCATCTCTTTTCCCCCCAGCTATGGATTAATTAGTAAGACTTGTATTTCTAAATGATTATCCCCAAAAAAAAAAAGAAAAGAAAAGAAAAATTTTTTTACAATCTAAAAATCATTTTTGGCTTTAAATAACATTCAAAGGGTTGATAAGCCATAGAAAACAAATCAAATCAATCTTTATAAAAGTAAATAAATGTCACATTGTACTTGGTTCACATATTTTTTTAAATTTTGTAAATAAACATTGCTGAGATAGTCAAAAGTTTATACAGTAATAGTGGTGTCAAGGGAATAACTGTCCTTTTGACACACCATTTTTCCCTTTCGGTTTTGAAAGTTAAACGTTGCCATGACTTTTTTTATAATATACAGTCTTTGAACATTTATTGATAAATCCTCTTCACTTATCATTGATAGTTTCTATTGATAATCAGATTACTTTTCTTTTTAACTTACAGCAATCGACTGAGCTGCTGATAAAGAAGTTATCTTTTATGCGCCTGGTCTATGAAATTGGATCCTATTTCGCCTATGATATTCAATGGCAGAGAACAGCAGTCCTTGCCTTGCAAGAAGCTACAGAATATTTCCTCACTTCTTTACTAAATGATTCCAACTTGTGCGCAATACATGCAAAGAGAGTGACACTAAAGCCACACGACATGCATCTTGCTGTAAGAGTTCGATATGACTCCTGCCTATTTTGAATAGTTCTTTTTAATGTCTCTTTCTGGAAACTAGTGTTCATTTGCCATCATCTTTTGGTGGTTATAAATAATGAATACTAATCATACCAGCAATGACTTTTATTTTTACATATTTATTTCATTTCCTTCATAAAATATTAAACATTTTATATTTTACAATTTTAATGTTTTCATTTTTATCATCTAGTTTTTATATTTTACTCGTATCAAAGAAAAAAAGAACTTAAAAAATCTGATTGGTTCATTGTACATGAAGCTCTGACCAATCAAAAAACAGTTTGTTCTGTGTTGAAGGAGTTAGATCCAGAAATTAACATAATTATCTCCCTTGGCATTTGAATTGTTTCCTCTCGAACAGAAAGTGTGGCACTGAAATCTGAAGGCATATTGGAATAGCAAAAGATGCCATCCAAAAGCAATGATTTGTTATTAAACAGGAAAATCTCATTAGAAACAAATAAGTGTGTTGAATTGATATGAATAGGAGGTAGAAGTGAACATTATAAGGACAGAACCTATTTATTCCTACCATCCCCAAAATGAGACATTGGGTATGAATTGGTTACATTAAGATTTAAACTATGAATATCGTAGCTAGAGTATACCATTACTGCAATCACACAAAGTAGCTTAAATTAGAAAATAGTTATTTAATCTGTAAGCTTTAGAAAATGTTTACTTTAATAATATGCTAAAATAAATTAGATAACCATAGGTTCTATGCTAACAGTTTCTTCTATCGCACTTCTCGCTTGTGGTACCCTCTTCATGCCTCTTCCTTTCCAGTCAAGTTTAAGTGCAGTACAAGACTGGCAGCAAGGTCTCCTCATTTTACAGTTTAAATGACTAGATTTAACCGTAAGTTCTATGCTAACAGTTTCTTCTATCGCACTTCTCGCTTGTGGAACTTTCTTCCAGCTTCTTGTTTTTCAATCAACTTTGATATTTAAAAATTTAAATGCAGTGTCAATTGTTATCTAATGTGTTTTTAATTCTGATTCTTTTATTGTTCTCTCTCTCCTTTTTTCTCATATTCTCTAACACTCAGTAACTCCTTCTGTCTTAGCGACTTTATTGCCTTGCTTGAGGTGAAATGAGTAAAACCAAAAAAAAACACAAACAAGGCTTTTTGCAATTAATCTTTTACTGTCACAACCATGAATTTAATTGTTGTGGAGTAGTTTTTCACAGTGGAGGCTTGTATTTCAAGAAGTCGTCCTAAATTAGGTTCAACGTACAAAACGTTAGGAACTTGAAAATAAGAGTCAACGCAGCAATCTAGTTGTGATGGTTGGTACTTCAATGTCCAATATCGTCTGACGCACTAAACACCACTAACCCCAACTGGCGACTGCTACTTATTATCTGTGGGAGAGTCCATTACAATAGAATAGGTAGTATAACATTAATGTTGACAAAGAAATTTTTTTTTAAATTTAAAATGGAATGAAAAACTGATTTACCTTGAAAATAAAATACATAAACAAATAATAAAGTTGGAACAAAAAAGAAAAAGCTTCAAATTTGTCATAAATGCCCATTCCTCGGGCTATGGTCAACTTAAGTGTACATCTTTGACTGATGCAAATCAACCCAAAGTTTAAGCCACTATTAACAAACTTCACTCTGAACAGAATCTAAGATAAGAAGCTTTTTTGTATCCAGTTGTAACCAAAATAGTATGGCGATCAAGAAGTGTGTACATTATAATTGGACATACTTTGTGTGTCCACAAAGTCATTGCCATGTTTATAAAAACATAACATTAATAAAACTATTGCTATCACTAAAAGAATTTGATAATAATATTAAAATGCAACAAAATTTTAGTTGCCACTTCTTCTAAGTGTTTTGTAATGACTTTTAGAAATTTGGTCACTTTAGATTTTATTTATATTGTCTCACTAAAAATACAGTGTAAATTTTAGTCAAAATTTCCTTCTTGTTAAGAGGCCTTAAAAAAAATTCTTAGACTTTTGCCTATTTCCGAGCATCTTGGATTTTACAAACTGATTACACAGTATATGTCAGACATGTTTTCTTGTTTTGGAATCCGGAGTATTTTAACATCGACTTTAAAAGTAAATCTTCAATCTCTAATGAAATTATCTGTTATTTGATCCAATAAACAAAATCTGTGTTTTTTTTTTTTTTTTTTTTTTTTTTTAGAGGAGCAATGAGACAATCTAATTATAAATTAAGCCAAAATATAACAAAGAAAAAAACTGATTCTTTACTCATGTATAAGCAACTGCTGAATTTTTTGTGGAAAACCTGATCTTTTGATATAGCTCATGTATAATGTGACCTCAGCTTCTGGGTAATACTAGTAGGCCTACTGTTCATTATTTACATTATTCGGACTATTGTCCTCATCTTTGTCGCCATATTTATCACAACGTTTGACCGTTCCGCTCCGACCTTCTTCAGGTGGTTGGAATGTCGCACTGAACCCTTTATTTCGCTCACTGGGGTAGACTGTTTTAGTTCCACGTGCCATGTGTTTGATGGATGTCAGTTATCAGTTATCTCCTGCTAATTCCCCTCTCAAAGTTCTCCACTGCCTCTCAAGGACACATGGCGCAGTGGATAAAGGCATTGGTTAGATCCAGTGACAGGACCTGAAGAGTGTGAGTTCAATACCTGGTTAAGGCAGTGGAGAACTTTCAGCGGGGAAATTAGCAGGAGATAACTGATAACTGACATCCATCAAACTTGACATGTGGAACTAGAACAGTCTACCCCAATGAGCGAAATAAAGGGTTCAGTTCGACATTCCAACCACCTGAAGAAGACCGGAGCATACAACGGGAAACATGATAAATATGGCGACAAAGATGAGGACAATAGTCTAAATAATGTACATAATACCTCATCTCAGAAATATAGACAGAGTCCTACTGTTGTCAAATATTGCAGTATTGGGCATCAACCTGGACATATTCTATAGCAAATAAATGGTCTAGGCTATGGGAGGCAGGCTAAAGGAACTTACCTGTACCATTAAGCCAAAGGTACCATGAGAATATAGGCCTACTAGGTAGGTTACAGTCACTGAAAAAGTAAGAATTTTAACCCCTTGAGAAAAATTTGCCTGCATATAGTGCAACTGGTCACTGAAAATTCATGATTTTTAACCTCTTCAAAAAAGTTACCTATGTATAGTGTGCCCCCCACCTCATATCTTACATAAAAAAAATTCACACTAAACTCAAGTAAAAGCAGTATTTTGCAATCTTGAGAAACAAACTCTTGAAGCTAGAAACTTTGCCTGCTATAAAGAAGACGTAGTTTATCATGAGAATTAAATAATTCTTAGTAACTATCTTTGGTTATTTGATAGTCTATAGTACCAAAAATACATAATAGTATTAATGATTGGGGTTAGCAGAATACTATTAATTTGTGGTATGAAGAGTTACAATTTACATTCAGACTAATGTCCTCATCTTTGTAATTATAATATTTTGACATTCTTCAGATATCCATCAATCCAAGCAACCTTCAGGGAATTTCAGACTGAACCCTTTCATCTATAAGAATAGATTGTTCTCATTCCACTGTCCCTGTTTAAGGATATTGTTGTCTTTTTTTTTTCCTTAGTACTGCTCAGTTATTGCTTGCTCTGTTTTAACTTAATTCAAGTCTGTACTAACTGACCCAGGAACTGAACTCACAATTACTGTTACCAAATTCATGAACTTTAGTCCACTAGACCATTTTCTGCATGGGATATCTCTAGACGTAGACAGTGGAACAAAAACAATCTAACCTCATGGATTCAGTTTCGAAATTCCATGAAGATTAAAGACAGAAATCTAAAGAAGGCTAAAAAAAGCACAACAGCCAAAATACAAAATTAACAACAAAGATGAGGACATTAATCCAAATGTAAATAACTTTCTATCAATTTCAGAAGAAAATCAGTAAACCTCATATTAAAAATTTAATTAAATATAAGTTTTTTAAGGTCATAATTTTTTAATTGCAATAGATTACACAGCACTTGTTTTGACTAACACATTACTTAGAAAAGTTACTTTACTACTTAAAGAGTCTTAGTTGGCAATAATATAAGTGACAAATAGCTATAAAAAGGCACTGTTGATTATTTACAGCTAATTTGTTTAAATAATGCACTGACTATTGTTTACATCATATGGCCATAATT